CTTCCCCACCGCCGCGGGGCCTGCACAGGAGGCTAATTTCTCACGCGGCCGTTTGTGTGGGTGTTTGTTTACATTATCGCTGGTCGCTGAGGGTCGGGCAGCCAGATTCGCCACGGGATGCCCCCTGTCCTTTCTATTTTGGGGCTGCAGTCGGCTAGGGGGGATTAGTGATTTCACAGATCATTTAGCCAATTACAAACATTTCGAAACTTTTCTAAAAAATGGTATTCGCGCGAATTCACTAATTTAAAGAACAGTCCCAACATGCACCCAACATTCTGCAACATACATTACAATACCCGGAGGTACAAAATCTACGATTTTCCTTGTTTAAGATTTTGAAGTTAGTTCCCACTTCAAATTGAAGCTCAGAAGAGGAGCAGTAAGGTCTGTTATTATGTTTTGTTTTATATGGTGCACCCCAAAAAATTATTGAGTACCCAATTTTTTAGGTTGGTTGCACCAGTGCACATATTCACAAAAATTAATTTCAAGCCCTGGTATACGTCGTACACCATCCAGATTCAAAGAGTTCCACGACTTCATCCCTTCACCAGATTATGTTGCCATTTTCGCAAATAAGATCCTCAGTTGCATGAATTTTATCAGTTGATGATATTATCCACTCAATGGCAGTCTTATCTCAACAAAGAAGACCATTCTAGCATTTCTTCACAAATTATGCAAACGAGGTCTGGTTTTTTTAAATAAATTTTGTTCACCTTCATTTCCTAAGGCCACACCAAGTAAATTTATTTGGATGACGTCCGCGCATGCATTGATTTTGGCCTGTTCCTAGAAAAAAAACCCAAGAAATTCCGCTTCCAGCAACCATGCTGTAAGTATGACCAAAGAGTCACGACAGTGCCGCAAATTGTCAGATTGATGTGAAACCCGTAACGTGAAATGGGTAAATAGCACATTTGCCGCAAAACAGGACAGGACGACAACTGCTGTTCCACCTGATTTATTGCTGTTTTGATGATGAATAAAAGACTTGCTTGTTACACTGTGTCACATCATTCAATTTGTATCCTAACATTTGTCGTCTCTTAGTATATTTCCAATCTAGGCATCTTGTTTTTAGGGCCCTTCTTGGTTTTTTTTTGCCCTCTCGCATTAGATTTAGAGTCTCCAAAGGAACATACATAAAATTTACTTGGTGTGGCCTAATGTGGTAAGTATGAAATTCCCATATGAAAGTTACCAGACTTAGTATGAAATTTTCTTATAAAATTATTAGAAAATAAAATTTCTCATTGATTATGCATATAAGGTCTTCATTTGCATAAAATCAATATCTGCTGATGTTCCTCATTCTCAATTACATATGTTCCTCATTCTCAATTACATATGTTCCTCATTCTCAATTACATATGTTCCTCATTCTCAATTACATATGTTCCTCATTCTCAATTACATATGTTCCTCATTCTCAATTACATATGTTCCTCATTCTCAATTACGTAATGTTCCAAATTCTCAATTACTGTAATTCTTGATTTGATAACGGTCACTTAATTATAGCGGTTTTAGTGGTCACTATTCCACCGCTAAATTTTCATGATCGCAACTTTTTTTTACCACTTCCGCCCCCCTTCCTCTTGCCCCAAGCTTGTTACGGTACGATCGCAATCACGCTTCATTTCGTGACTACAACATGCACACAACGCACAGTAAGTGCTTCACATAAAAACAAGCAAAACAGTGATGTGCTTCCAGAAATAAAAAATTTATCTAACATAAAGTAGTTTATATTTTTAACATTTATGCTGTGCTAAGCAAACCACAGTAAACACAAATTATGGCGTCGCAGTGACGCTTTGAAATTTCCCAGCTTATCTACACTTGGATATTTATAAATATTTAGCGTATATTTCGATTTAGAAGTTTCTCCATAAATTTACAGAAACGATAGCCGTTTATTTTGTGCTACTACGGGACAATATCGAAAAAATGCGACGAGTTACAAAATTCAGTGTTGCCCAAGCGTGCAGACAACAACAAACAAAATGGCGGCCCGGCGGCCAACTTCACAAACGAGTTACAAAGTACGAGAAATGCGGCATAAATCTGCTTAATTTCGAGGTTAAATAATACAATCAAATGTTAAGCGTCATTTGTACTACAAAATGTAAAAGCGTTAATAGCGTGCTGCGACTAGGACGAATCGAAAATTCGGGAACCAAGCGCAGTGAAAAAAAATGGCGTCACAAGTTTTTCGAAAATTGCGAGTCAACTTTTACGGCAAAAAATACGATTAAACATTACTGTTAAAGGCTATAGTGTCTGTAGAACTTTCTCGAGGGCGTCATGGATTCCATTACGCTCCAATCCTAGGGCGAAGACGCTGGGTTTCGCTGTAAGCTCGTCTGCGGCGCCGGACATGTAGCGGCGTGCAGCGGCATAGCGTGCCGTGGCTTGGAGAAGGACGCTCGGGGAGGGGGGCCGCGGTGCCGCACGCAACACAAGCGTGCGTAATTACGAACTTTTTGAAGTCACCGTGCCGCTACAGTACTTTGTAAATTATTAAATTAGTACTTCCAGACACCATCGGCGTGCCTGTTTTGTTTTTTCTTTGTAAAAATGGATTTTTGCTGGCATAAACTGCTTTTTTTATTTTCTTAAAAAAAAAGGCCAGCGTTTTAATGCATTTTTTAACACACATCAGCCATGTTCACACCGCTATAATTAAGTGACGTGAGCTTGTCCATTTTTCGCCGACCGCTATAATTTCCAACCGCATTTTTAAATGGATTTACAGTACATATGTTCCTCATTCTCAATTACATTATGTTCCTCATTCTCAATTACATATGTTCCTCATTCTCAATTACATATGTTCCTCATTCTCAATTACATATGTTCCTCATTCTCAATTACATATGTTCCTCATTCTCAATTACATATGTTCCTCTGTCTTGATTACATATGTTCCTCTGTCTTGATTACATATGTTCCTCTGTCTTGATTACATATGTTCAAAAGTCTTGGAACCCAGCAGAGTTATAGAATTTCCTCATTAGGCCACAACAATTTAATTTGTTGGTTCTCGGATTTTTTCATGAAAAATGTGAAGCGACAGGGCGAAAAAAAAAAAAAAAACATGCCCAAATGGTAAAGCTAAGGCTGGAAAAGGGATTGAGAACAAAGCTATGACTATACATGCTAAAACATTGCTGTTTTATAGCCTATGTATCAAGGATCAATTATTGATGTTAATGATCTGCCGAATAAACATACCCCCCCGGAATAAACGTACCCCCCGGACAAATTTTCAAAATCCAATAAAAATACCCCCCGGAATAAATTTACCCCCCGGAAAATTACCAAAATTGACGGGTAACCTGTGTCTCTTATACTAAAATGTGCTCTTACTGATATACTAGAAACTGTTATGCACAAATCTTTAACTGTTATTTGCAATTAGGAATTTAAATAGACAACAAAGAGAGCATTTCTAGTACAAATGTAGACATGTCATGTTGTTGGGAAATACATACAGTCAAACCTGTAATAACGACCACCCCTGTATAGAGACCACTCGTCCATTACGACCACTTTTTGTTGGTCCCTTGAATTTTTCCCATCGACTCAAGCGTTAAGAAATCTTGCATTGCGTCTACCTGTCTAACGCGTCCAGCGTCCACATGTTTTCGGTCCCGAGACGTCCAAAATGCCAATCCCACCGCCTGAGTCCAGCCGTGAGTACGTTGCCAAATGTTGGCCAAGAAAATCCAACGGGTACCGGGTAATAAAGAATATGGGCATGATGTGGCAGCGTTTTTTGTTTTTTTTGCTAGCGTTCGTATCATAAAAGTAAACAAAATTTCGAAGTGCCGATTACTCAAAAATGGCCCCTAAAAATCCCAGCGAACCATCCCAGCATGTCGTAACTTGGCGTCGATTACGACAACTTTTCTTTTGGGAAAAATCCACTAAAATTAGAAAATAATGCTTCTCTAGCAACCAGATAGGGCTCCAGATATTTTCTGGGCGATATTACCCGGGATTTTGTCGTAAAAATGAGCCAAAACTGTGGTAGAAAAGGCCGAGAAATATCCAACATGGCGTCGCTGCGGAAGAAGGTCATTTGGGGTTAACAGAAGATCTCATTTCTTACGGGGAAGACTGTGTAATATTTTACCCGATTTCTTGATTTTATTGCGGTAAATCGACATCGACAAATACAACATGGTAGCTAAATCGTAAATATTAAATGACTTGCTTAGTTTGTTAGAATTTGTTCTAATTTAGAGCTTTGAGGAGTTCGTATTTTGATGAGCACCACCCATGACAATGGAACATTCAGACAAATTTATGCACGGGGCGATCGCGAAAACCGGCCCGAAAATGACAAGTTTCTCGCTACAATACGCGTTTATAAACGTCTTCACGTCGAAGATTTGCCGATTTTTTTCACGCGTAGTCGAAAAAAATTACTGATTTCCAAAAAATTAATAAACGTACCGTGCAAAATAAGAACGTACCGGGTGGACGTTCGGGCCCAAAAAAATCGGCAGTTGAGATGAGAGTAACAAGAATTAATTTTTTTTTTTTTTCATTTTGCGATTTTTTGAAGCGGCGATTCCGAGAACCAACAAATTAAATTGGTGTGGCCTTAATTAGGCAAATTAGATCCTGCTTTGCATAATTGCTATCTAATTTTTTTAAAGCATCACTTATAAGCTACGTACATACATGTACCAAAAGTTGTGATGATCCTTCAACTGGTTCTTGAGTTATCCTCTCTCTGAAAGAGTTCCAGAATGAGCTGCTAGGGGACCTGTGATGTAAACAAACAAGGCTGACCGCTGTGTTCCCAACTTTCAGAAACACTCATAAGGTGTAATATTTTGACACCTCTGCTTCCTGAAAGACACTTATTTGCAATAGGGTTGATTTAACTTGTAAAGAAATGAAAAAAAAAAATTTTGTATCGTCTTAATGTTACATAATGCAGCCTTAAGTCGGTCAGAAGTAGCTATACTTGCTAAAACTTATTTTTTGCAGACCAAGAGGAAATGGAGGAGGATTGTATAATGGAATCAGCAGACACAGTGCCTGTTACCTGCAGTGCCCAGCACAGCTCAGGAACTCCACCTGAACATGACCCAGTGTCCCACAAAGAGAAGTCGTCACACCGACATTATCACTATACTTCTGTCTTTATCTTCTAGGACTTGTTTAACATGTAAGTCCTTGATAATAGAGCATTCTACTTACCTGGTGTGTTCATGCATTAATTATATAAAAGCTCTTGGGCTTATAACTAATTGGTGTAGGATGGGGCCCCCTAGTGGCTTTTGTGGGACTGCAGGCACCAGATTTGATTGCATATTTGGGAAGCATTGACTCAAAACAGTTGAAGGTTTATCGTGATGCCTGGTACTAGTATGTACATGTACAATGTAGGTAGCTTATGTGATGATTGACATCGTCAAATGCTAGTTATGCAAATAATTTGTATAATTCATCATCATCATCATCATCGGTCGACCGTATTGGTCGGGATTATACCGCCCCTTACAAGGTAACATACCCTTTCGTTAGCTTAATACAAGACGGGGTTCGCCACGCCTTTGTATAATTAATGAGGAAATTCTATGACTAACATCCAATGTTGGGACTTTCAAACATGTGAAAAAGAGCTGAACATTGGTTAAAATCAATTGTGAAAATGATAACGATTTAAAAATGCTACAAAACCATTACTGATAGTGATTGTAAATGACAGGAATTCATAATAATAGATGAGAAAATGTTACACAGTAGGCATCTTGTTAGGGTAATACTTTCAAACTCTGGATAATTGCATGGGTAGAAAAGATCGTCTGATATTATTTATGCAAATGACATCATTTGCATTATTAATGAGATACTTGATAATACGTTGTCCTTGAAGGTCTTTTGGTGAAGGCATGAGTTGTTTTAAGCATGTTACGTGATTGAAGGACTGGAGTGTGTTTTGTTCGAAAATACCTATACATTGTACCTTGTGTTGTGGGAGGCAAGTGGTATTAGGTAAGCCAAATGGGTAGGCTATGTATAGTGTATCAACTAAGCATAACAGTATGCCAATCATCTGGCTGTGACAATTAATTTAAAAAGGGTGAATGTGACACATGAATTGATGGTAGGGGCAACAAAGTCTCATGGACTTTCCAGGGCCATTTCCTTTACTTTTTTACATACTACATTGTGTAGTTGCCTTCGTGAGAAGGGTATAAAAACAGCAGTCTGCTTTAGTGTGGGAGACTGGATTTAGCGGCATTTGATGTTCATGATTTTCAGCAGGCAGGTTACCGTTGGGGAGACCAAGGTCAAGTGCAAAAACCAACTTTGTGGGGGGTCCCCTATGTCACTGCAGTGGGCCTTTTGTGTTTGTCGTTAGCAGGATAACTTGAGTGCATGTAAATGGATCTTCATGATTTTTGGTAGGCAAGTTTAACTTGTGGAGGCCAAGGTTAAGTTCTAAAATAGGCCTTGTGGGGGGGCGGGTCCCTTCGTTGTTGCAGTGGACCTTTTGTGTTTAGAAAGGTAACGATCTTCCCCCACCAACCTCTGCTTGAGGACAGCTGGCTGAGTAACCATCACGCCCTGGAATCAGATAACGTTGCTTACATTGAGCGACTGTTCTGTAACTTCAGCGAGAGGAGGAAACGTTGGACATGCGTCACTCAGGTTATTACCTAAGGCCACACCAAGTAATTTTTACAGATGACGTCCACTGGAGACCTTAAATTTAATCCAAAAGCGCTGTAAAAGAACACGAAGATTTGGAATACTCTAACTGTAGAAATACAAATGTTAGGACACAAATTGAACAAAAGAACACAGTGTAACAACTAACAAGTACTTTCTTCGTCATAAAAATAAATCAACTAAACAGCAATAGTTACCCTGTTCTGATTCTTTCCTTTCCTCAAATCTTCTCTTATTACATTTTGTGACACTGTCCTGACACTCTGATCCAGCAAGCATAATTTCTTGTAACAGTTTTTTTTTTCCAGTAAGGCCACACCGACTTAATTTTATGGATGACATCCACTCGCGCATTGATTTTTGCCTGTTCAAAAAAAAAGAGAGAGATCACGTCTGGCCTGGCTCTATATAAGTAAAGAATACACATGTTCATTTCTCTAGAACAATGTCCATCTGACGAAGGCATGAGATCTCCGACCTCTAGTTTATGATTGTTCATTATTTGTGCTAAGTTCACAATAGAGCTACATGTAGCCTGGACAAAAAAAAACAATGAACCCCAAGATGCTGTACATAACTCATGAACTCAAGGGGCTTTTTTTTTTGCAGTCTTCATATAAATGTACATTGTAGGTGTTGTGCAGTAGTTCTGTTACTAGTAGTTCATGTAAAGCTGAAGGGTAGTGAAGCAAAAAATTGTTACCCTGTGATGTGATTTTCAATCTAGAAGTTGTAGTACAACTTGAAATCTTTGTTTAGGGACCTAAAAACTCATGATTTTAGGTCCATTGGGAGTAGGCTAATATGCATCCATGAAACTATTTGAGAATTACTTGAATATGCCAGAAATACATGGAAAAGTTGCTAATACATGTATAAGGTTTTGTATTGTAAAATGTACTTGTTACACTTTAAGGCATTTCGCCATTCTTTAAGCTTGATTTTACATTTCCTGAAGCAGATTCTGTCATGTGCAAAATGAAAACTTTTTTGTTGTAATTGTGAGTGAAAACTTAATCTTTGAAAACCACTTAAAATTCACTAAAAAAAATTGACAAAATTCTAAGTATGTCCTAAAATGCTACAATATGATAATTCTATTTCATGACATTTTACCTAAACTGTAAAGTCTAAAACATCAGTTTTTAAATCCCTTGAGATCAGCTATTCATAATTTACATATTTTTATGTGCAGGTCTTTCATGCATAAGTTTTTCACGTGCAGATTTTTCACCCCCCACAAAACCCCATCCCTGTGACTGTGACAATCCAGGGTAGACACAGTGTCACTGTTAGTAATACAGTAGTACAACTGCTCTGTTTTCTGTTTCCCTCCAGACTCGTCATGGTTGATGGTTGGAGGACGTGGCCAGGAGATGTCCATGGAGACTGCCATGGAAGAGATGGGAAGTACAGATGAACACCACGAGTCTATCTATGTACAACAGGGCTATGACAGCGCTATGTATGAGGCAATGTTACAGTTTCATGGCACATAGAATAGTTGATTTCATACACTAAAGTCTTGTGTACACTACCGGTAAAACTCAATTACTCAAAGATACATCGGTTTACATGTATCCTTAGTACATGTTTGTAACTATGTTGTATTGTGAAGAACCTAACATGAAGCATATTCATTCTTGTAACAGGAGAAAAGTATTGTGCATTTGTCATTTTGTACTGTTGATTGTTGAAAGAACATTGTATTTTCTTTAGTAGAGGACTTTTATATAGTATCTATTTTCCTATTGTGCTATTTTATACTCAATGATGGTTATCCCTTTTTTTTTTGTTAGTATGTGTACCACTGGGCTGGTACTGGATATGTAGAGTTCTTTCTTACGGCAATATTCCACATTATTTTAAATAGAAAGGTATCATTTTCTTTATATGTGTATGTTAGAGCTTGTAATTATTACACGAATTATAATTATCATTTTAGGCAAGTAGACCATGCCGTCTAAGACCAGTCTCCCTGTATTTCTGTCATTGATTTTGGCTTGTGAAAACTATGGATAAACATTCAAATTGGCAAATGGTGTCAATTGTAGTTGAATGTATTTACATTTTTGCACCCTGATGTCAAGTCAGGATACTGGGGTAGTTCCATATCAAAACCAACAGTTCAGACCAAAAGTTGGAGCCAAAATCGGGGCCCTTTGTTTATAAAAGAATGTACAATGTATATCATAAAGGTGTGACTAAGTTAGAAAAGTTTCACTCACTCACTACTAGGGGCAGGCAGTATGTCCAGAAAAGTTCTACACTTTCTCCACTCCAGCAATTATCAAAAGTTAATAGTTTACAGAACTATAATTGCTTGTAGCCGGTTGGATGAGCATCATGTCATACACTCCACTCAAACACTCAACCAAGAATAATGCTATATATATATTTGGCTGCATTTATAATTGTATAATGATGAGAAAACAACTGGTCATATTTATATGTGGGAAAATAATCTTTATTTTTCCCAGTAATACCATCTAAGGCACATGACATGTGATCTAGAAAACAACACAGCCTTTCCAAACATGAATAGACACCCATAAAAAGCATACAAATATTCTCATTTCATTTGTACAATGGTAGATCTACAAAACCAGGATAAAAATTTCAAAGGTTATAGATAAGGAAGATGTTGTAACGTGTCATTGTGCTTCCTCTCCTGTCACAGAAGCCAAACAGAACCTGGCACACACATCATCTGTCCAAGCAAAAGATTTTTAAACTTCAGTTAAAAAAACACAGGTCTCCATTATACCGTATGTTTGACAGACATGACTGAATCCTCAAAAAGATATTAGTTTAACACTATCTTAACACTTGGATTTCAACCCCTTGCTTACCTGTTAGGGTTCAGAATAGCCAAGACTGATCGAAAATGACAACCTTATAAATAAGTTGTAATACAGAAACTGACTTGCTAACCATAACTTTGCCATGATCCAAAATTCTGAGAAGAGGACAGATTTAACCCTGATTTCCAGGCTATACTAAAATTGCACTTTCTATACATCACACTACATAGAATCTACCAAGAACAAATTGAATCTACATTTAATGTCTGGTCCAACGTAAGAGCAAGAAGAAAATGGAGCACCACCTTATGACAAAACCAACAGAGTTTGGAGACCTTCTACCTCATGATATTTAGATCTTATGTAAATGTCATTTTATCTGTTCTCATTATGCAAATACAGTTGTAATCAGCACCTCCATTTCCTCGATCCAAATTACATACAATATTTTGCATTTGTAAAAGCTAACCTAACCAGAATTCCAATTTAATCTTTCATCAATTATATCTAAGGGATCATGTGATGCTCACCTTTGACTAACTTACAAATGTCATAAATAGGAAATTCCCATTGTGTAAACATTTTTGCATTGATTAAGCAAATGTCTAACAGAAACGTCCTCAGTATTTAACTTCTCGGCGCCCAAAACCAACACCTGAAGTCTGTAGCATGTCCAGGACAAAAGGTAACAACATTGGTATAAGTCAGAATATTTCCTTATTAATTGTGCAAAATTCCTCTTCCCTTTATTTGCATTTCATTGTGTACTTGAGAAATGAAAAAAAAAACATCACTCAGCTTCTTTTTTAGAGATTTTAACAAAAATGCTCAATGCAGTTCCTGAACAAGCTTCTGGGGGGCCTTCCTAACACTTTGTACAGGCCTAAAGAAAATTAAAAGCTACTCATGCAAGAAATTTGAAACATTAAATTTTATACGAAGTCCCATGGTGGAAAGTAAGATAAATGTTCCATTTGGCACCACATTCTATACTTCCAGTTTCCCACTGGAAATTGTCACATTAAAAGGCTCCATGTACATCACCAACCTTCTGTTAACACAGACTTTTATATATATCAAAATTGACATATCTTTTGCTTGGTTTGATCAGGCATTGTTGGTACCACATATCTTTTCATTACTCCTGCAAGGGTGCAGATCCAATTACAGCATCCTATTTGGACCATACATAATGTTATGTATATACAGTACAAGTTTTGGAATACAACATAAGAGTGAAGTGTGGTATAACAGAGGAATGTTCTGTTCAATTTAATTACATGTACCTTCCTAAAAGTAAAAACGAACACATTCACAGACATGTCATTACATTCATGCTACATACTCAGATTTGCTTCAATGTTACAAAATGTAATAATATTGTACTGGTAGATGTTGATACGCATAGAAGTTTCACATTAAAGCAGCTTCTCTAAATTCTCCTGAAATATGTATGCTGTAGGTTTCTATTCTACAAACAAAATCATGATCTCATTAGTTTTCTGGCTACTTTGAAACCTGATCGATCACAAGTACACCAAACAAATACAAATACACATGGCACTGGTCTGATATCACACTTCCTTCTTAAGAATGATTGTCTCTTGATTCCTTCATATTAAGGTCATAGAACTTCACTTGTAGCCTTTATGGCACATCAAATATACAGACCTTTGATAATCCACCCAACCATAAGAACCTCTGCAGTCAACACCAGTCACTAACAGAATGCTGACCTCAACTTTCAGTCATGACTGATGTCAGGGCTCAAAATCCTTTTTTTATCATGAAAGTTCATCTGTGTTGGTAGTAATCATAGTAAAACGTTAAACTTTATTCCAACACACTATTTACAGGGATCAAATTTTCAGCGACTACTGTCGCCTTCATCAGGATAATTAATGACCAATCACTTCACAACGTGATCTCGCGAGAGTTACGGTTTACAAACACGTGAATTCACTCACACGAGACTTTACTGATACGTGACGTAAGCAATTGATCAAAAGTGCCAGGGAGTTTATATCGTCCACCATCTCTATTAAGTGAAGGCTGAAGTGCTCTGATATATATAGCCTCCTTAATGCCTCTTAGCAAGTAATCCTTTTTTTCTACATACCAGCACTCAGTCTGGTGCAGAGAACTACCTACACCAAATTTTACCTGCCCCACTCAGAATTTAGAAAGTATGGATCATACTAAAAGCTGTCAGAAACAATTGCCATTAATCGTTTAAATTTGTACTTCATATTATTAAGTGGTGACAGTCAATGAGGCAAATAAAAATCCACATGCCAGTGCAGGTTAGGTTCAGGTAGATATCAGAAATACCTGCACAACTCCAATTTTACCTGCAGGTGGTATTTCTAGCCCTGGTTGTACCTTTAATGATTAGACAGGTTAGAAATCCAGTTGTCACCAGTGCCTATTATCCATTATTGACATGAACATTGAGGCTACAAACAGTATAACAGTACAACAGATAGTCATGACAATTTTCCCATTTTCTGACTTAAATTTGAAGACCCTTAGAGTGTGATAAAACATGCATGTCATACCATGTTATACCTTTTCGTATTAATTAATATTGAATGGAGGACACCAGCACAGCTTCAGACATTGCTAAGCTGCCCTGTGTGTGACTGATGGAAAGTCATTTCCAGATTGAACAAGATTTCTCAAACAGTTAAAAAGCGTATAATACACATCACGAAATAGATGTGATAAAGTTATATCTGAAGACATACATCCCTCCTATGTGACACTCATCACAACAGATTTCCACATTTAGCAGAATGGTGTCCTCCATAGTTCTGTCTACTCTTGTTGACTTGTGGCAGTGCCAAGCTGTATGGTGCAGAAGGTAATCCTCCTAAACTAAGATAGCAGGAAACCTTAATTTTGTTTGACAAAACATCATATATCTATTGCCTGGGAACTGGCTATCCTGGGAAAATTTTTGAAATCTTAAACCCCCAACACTATTTTCTGCATTTTCAGAGGCAAATTTTACTGGTACACTAAGCTTAATTAAATGACAACCATCTCTACACCATTACGATTTTTGTCCATCAAAGATAATGGATTGGTCACATTTTTTCTTGTGAGTGGAGAAATTCCGTCAAATGGCAGAATGACGGATGCTGGCTAGAACACTGCCACGGAACAACACAAAGTGTTTGAATAACGTCTGGGGCCTCATATCCGATTGGCCACCATTGCTTTGATTGACCCAAACAGGATACAGGAACAACATCGCACACTAGTACTGTACCCTACAGTTTGAGCGCAGAACCACAGATTGCACATACAAAGATGTCATTACAAGAATATTCTCTTGATTAAAGATAGTGTTGATATTTTCTAGCAATTTCGTTGTACAAAAGTAACATATAATCTTTTACTTTAATTCATTAGTGACTTGACCATACAGTACTTTCTAAATGAAAACACCACTCTCTTAACTACAGTATTGTGCACATAACAGCCTGGTAGGCAGTGTGGACAGTTTCACCTCTTTCATTCACTTCTTTCAAATTCTGCCAACAGTGCAAATGCAGCATGTCTCACATCTGGATATATATATATATAATATGTATTTATTGTCAGCAAACAGGTTTACTTCAATACCCTGAGCTCTGGTTTTATTCTAAAAATATAAACTCAGAGATCCTTTCCAACTCTGTCCTGTGCCACTGATTCAGTGGAATATTTGATCCTTAAAATACATGTACAACAACCCACATACAAGAACTACTGTACTGATGTGTAACGTTGGGTTTCCCCATGCACAACTGCCCTTTCCAAGGTTGGTCCCTGTCATCTTTTCTGTGGTAAAGTAGCAGTCTACCAAATTGCACGACTGGTTGTCCGTGATCTGTGGCGTGGCTGTAGGTTTGTCACTGGGAGTGTTGGCTGTGTGTGTCTGAGTCTTGCCTCTGGTACATTTGGTGGATGTAGTATGGGAAGTTTGCAGCAGCCAACTGTGGTTGTTGTTGTTGTGATGGTGGTGGTGGGACTTGGGACTGAAGGTTTGCCTGCTGCAGCCTCTGCTGCTGCTGCATCTGCAGTCTCTGTGCCACCGTGAGCGGCCGGTTGCCCTTGGTGCTCTGCGGGCCGGGGGCGGCCACCCCGGTGGGGGACTGTGGCGGCGGCATCATGTGGACCTGGGGTGACAGCAGCTGTGCCGTGGTCATCAGGGAGCCTTTACTGGTCGGGTTTGCAACAACAGACGTTTTACTCTGTCCGAAGTCAAACCTATTGTCCATTCCCGAGGTGAGGCTGGAGGAGGGACCAGGCTGCACGCCCTGGGAAGCCACAAACTGTCCTTGTATGATGCCCATGGCGTGGACCTGTCCAGCCCCGTACTGACCCCCCTGGGGAGGGGCTTGCAGGATGGACGACATCTGCCCCTGTACAAACACCCCCCCGGGCATGTTGGCCATGTTGGACTGTGAGGTGAGCAGGGATGTCTGCTGGACCTGCTGCATGGACTGAGTGGTTCCTCCCATGGTCATGGGTGCAGACTGGGACGGGGGGTAGGGCATGGCCGGGGTGGGGAGTGACGAGGAGGGGGCGTAGGGCAGACTGTTCTGTTGTACAGACATGGCCGTCAGCACCCCGGGGTCCGTCACCATCGGGCACTGCATCAGGATCTGCTGCCGCAGCAGCTGTAACTCCTCCTGCTGCCGCCGGATGGTGTCCTGCAGCGCCTGGTAAACAACAACAAATCAGACTGTCAACAACAACAAATCTGCAACTTCACACAGATAACAACTGTCAACAGACAAATCTGCAACTTCACACAGACTACAGCTGTCAACAACAACAAATCTGCAACTCAACTCAACTTCACACATACTGCAGCTGTCAACAACAACAAATCTGCAACTTCACACAGACTACAGCTGTCAACAACAACAAATCTTCAACTTCACACATACTGCAGCTGTCAACAACAGCAATCTGCAACTTAAAGCCATGCAGAGGACAGTGCTGGTGACATACCTGATGTCTCTGGAGCAGTTGTTCCTGTAGCCTGAGCTGGGGCGGTCTGATCAGAGCTCCCATTGGCTGAAACACAACCACAACCAATCACACAACAGTCCTACAGTAAACACAACCAATCACACAACAGTCCTACAGTAAACACAACCACAACCAATCACACAACAGTTCTACAGTAAACGCAACCAATCACACAACACTACTACAGTAAACACAACCAATCACACAACAGTTCTACAGTAAACACAACCAATCACACAACAGTCCTACAGTAAACACAACCACAACCAATCACACAACAG